TTTCTAGGGGGCACCAGCTTGTAAATGGCAGGTCGGTCTTCTCGAAAGCTTTGTGGTGGACATACCAATATAAATAGATCGGTGACAATAGATTGGGACATGCAAATTAGTATACCACGTTTGCTTGTTAGAGGCGGTTGTGCTGTTCAGTGGGGCTGTTCTTAAGTTATAAAACAACAGTCCTTTTTGTCCTTTTGTGAGTAAATAATCAATTCCAGTCTTAATGGTTCCAGGTTGTCGGTTTCACTTGGTTTGAAATAATATTTCTGATTATTCTTTCTTCTGTTTTATATTGTGAGTTCATGGTGGATTTGTATTAGAGTTTTATGGGACGAGTGTTGTTCTGTTATACAATTCTTTTAAATATGTTATTTAAATTAAAGTTATTTTTAAATATGTAAATTTTAAATCCCTCCAAGGAGTGCCGGACCAACCGGGCTGTGGTGGGTATGTGGGCCTGCGGGCCGCTCCAAGCAACAGCCTGGTGGACCAAACTCTCACAAGTCGAGCCTGGCCTCGGGCCGGGCTTGGGGAGTAGAAGAACTCCCAGAACCCCATCAACCAGGTATCAACCAGGTATGTTTTGCTGTGTGCGTTGACTTTTCTATTCGTGTACCTGTTGTTTAATATTACTGTACGTGAAGGTTTCTGTCTAATTCTGTGAATAGAGGACATGTTGAAGACGTGTTGTGGGAGTCCATCCTGGCACTCACCACAACCACCATCCTGGCACTCATCACAACCACCATCCTGGCACTCACCACAACCACCATCCTGGCACTCATCACAACCACCATCCTGGCACTCATCACAACCACCATCCCTGGCACTCATCACAACCACCATCCTGGCACTCATCACAACCACCATCCTGGCACTCATCACAACCACCATCCTGGCACTCATCACAACCACCATCCTGGCACTCATCACAACCACCATCCCTGGCACTCATCACAACCACCATCCTGGCACTCATCACAACCACCATCCTGGCACTCATCACAACCACCATCTTGGCACTCGATACAACCACCATCCTGGCACTCACCACAACCACCATCCTGGCACTCATCACAACCACCATCCTGGCACTCATCACAACCACCATCCTGGCACTCATCACAACCACCATCCTGGCACTCATCACAACCACCATCCTGGCACTCATCACAACCACCATCCTGGCACTCATCACAACCACCATCCTGGCACTCACCACAACCACCATCCTGGCACTCATCACAACCACCATCTTGGCCTCATCTTCACACACCAATGATATCATGCTGTTTGAACCCAATCACATATCCAGCATAAAATTTGTTTTTTTCAAGGTATAATTTTATCACTTGTCACTCTAACTTTGCCAGAAGTACAAACTTGAATTCAAGCAAAATATAACTTATGAATATGGTCCTGTTTGTTACAGTACAAGCGGGGAAGTTTGTGTATTGGGATGAAAACAGCTGACTAATGAAATGCGGGCACCTGCCTGTCTGCTTGCGCAGGAAACCGCGCCGACTTAAACCGGGCAGCGGAAGCCCAGCGCTCTTACGGGTTATTCATGCCCGTGCCGCCTCTTGAGTGGCTTAATCTCCATCAATCAATCAATCAATCGGCCCAGTGCTCATTAGGACCACACAGCAGCGCTCCTGTGCCAGGTAAGTCCACTACGGGTTCACCATAGCCCGTGCTACTTGCCCCGCTCCTGTGCCAGGTAAGTCCACTACGGGCTCACCATAGCCCGTGCTACTTGCCCCGCTCCTGTGCCAGGTAAGTCCACTACGGGCTCACCATAGCCCGTGCTACTTGCCCCGCTCCTGTGCCAGGTAAGTCCACTACGGGCTCACCATAGCCCGTGCTACTTGCCCCGCTCCTGTGCCAGGTAAGTCCACTACGGGCTCACCATAGCCCGTGCTACTTGCCCTGCTCCTGCGCCAGGTAAGTCCACTACGGGCTCACCATAGCCCGTGCTACTTGCCCTGCTCCTGTGCCAGGTAAGTCCACTACGGGCTCACCATAGCCCGTGCTACTTGCCCCGCTCCTGTGCCAGGTAAGTCCACTACGGGCTCACCATAGCCCGTGCTACTTGCCCTGCTCCTGTGCCAGGTAAGTCCACTACGGGCTCACCATAGCCCGTGCTACTTGCCCCGCTCCTGTGCCAGGTAAGTCCACTACGGGCTCACCATAGCCCGTGCTACTTGCCCTGCTCCTGTGCCAGGTAAGTCCACTACGGGCTCACCATAGCCCGTGCTACTTGCCCCGCTCCTGTGCCAGGTAAGTCCACTACGGGCTCACCATAGCCCGTGCTACTTGCCCTGCTCCTGTGCCAGGTAAGTCCACTACGGGCTCACCATAGCCCGTGCTACTTGCCCCGCTCCTGTGCCAGGTAAGTCCACTACGGGCTCACCATAGCCCGTGCTACTTGCCCCGCTCCTGTGCCAGGTAAGTCCACTACGGGCTCACCATAGCCCGTGCTACTTGCCCCGCTCCTGTGCCAGGTAAGTCCGCTACGGGCTCACCAGAGCCCGTGCTACTTGCCCCGCTCCTGTGCCAGGTAAGTCCGCTACGGGCTCACCATAGCCCGTGCTACTTGCCCCGCTCCTGTGCCAGGTAAGTCCACTACGGGTTCACCATAGCCCGTGCTACTTGCCCCGCTCCTGTGCCAGGTAAGTCCACTACGGGCTCACCATAGCCCGTGCTACTTGCCCCGCTCCTGTGCCAGGTAAGTCGACTACGGGCTCACCATAGCCCGTGCTACTTGCCCCGCTCCTGTGCCAGGTAAGTCCACTACGGGCTCACCATAGCCCGTGCTACTTGCCCCGCTCCTGTGCCAGATAAGTCCACTACGGGCTCACCATAGCCCGTGCTACTTGCCCCGCTCCTGTGCCAGGTAAGTCCACTACGGGCTCACCATAGCCCGTGCTACTTGCCCCGCTCCTGTGCCAGGTAAGTCCACTACGGGCTCACCATAGCCCGTGCTACTTGCCCCGCTCCTGTGCCAGGTAAGTCCACTACGGGCTCACCATAGCCCGTGCTACTTGCCCCGCTCCTGTGCCAGGTAAGTCCACTACGGGCTCACCATAGCCCGTGCTACTTGCCCCGCTCCTGTGCCAGGTAAGTCCACTACGGGCTCACCATAGCCCGTGCTACTTTCCCCGCTCCTGTGCCAGGTAAGTCCACTACGGGCTCACCATAGCCCGTGCTACTTGCCCCGCTCCTGTGCCAGGTAAGTCCACTACGGGTTCACCATAGCCCGTGCTACTTGCCCCGCTCCTGTGCCAGGTAAGTCCACTACGGGCTCACCATAGCCCGTGCTACTTGCCCCGCTCCTGTGCCAGATAAGTCGACTACGGGCTCACCATAGCCCGTGCTACTTGCCCCGCTCCTGTGCCAGGTAAGTCCACTACGGGCTCACCATAGCCCGTGCTACTTGCCCCGCTCCTGTGCCAGGTAAGTCCACTACGGGCTCACCATAGCCCGTGCTACTTGCCCCGCTCCTGTGCCAGGTAAGTCCACTACGGGCTCACCATAGCCCGTGCTACTTGCCCCGCTCCTGTGCCAGGTAAGTCCACTACGGGTTCACCATAGCCCGTGCTACTTGCCCCGCTCCTGTGCCAGGTAAGTCCACTACGGGCTCACCATAGCCCGTGCTACTTGCCCCGCTCCTGTGCCAGGTAAGTCCACTACGGGCTCACGATAGTCCGTGCTACTTGCCCCGCTCCTGTGCCAGGTAAGTCCACTACGGGCTCACCATAGCCCGTGCTACTTGCCCCGCTCCTGTGCCAGGTAAGTCCACTACGGGCTCACCATAGCCCGTGCTACTTGCCCCGCTCCTGTGCCAGGTAAGTCCACTACGGGCTCACCATAGCCCGTGCTACTTGCCCCGCTCCTGTGCCAGGTAAGTCCACTACGGGCTCACCATAGCCCGTGCTACTTGCCCCGCTCCTGTGCCAGGTAAGTCCACTACGGGCTCACCATAGCCCGTGCTACTTGGAACTTGTTCCGAGTAGCTGACTCTATAACAACTATCATTAGGACGCAAGTCACCGAACGCTCCACACACACAATACTTATATCGAGAGAAGACGTCACGATCTGGACCAGGATTTACGTAATTATTTACGACAAAATGATAAAGAAGACACATTGCATATTTTGTATACATGAACAGGCGCCGTGCAAGAAAATTAGCAGATGCTAGTAGGCCTACTACAACTAGGGTTATAATAGCAGCAGCAATACGGCAAGAACAAGTAATTTGAACACAAAAACATTGCAACAATAACATGTACAGGTTCACTATGTGAACTGTTATGCAACAACAAAAACAGGAACGATACAAGAACGGAAAAAAATTAACAAGAGCATTGCAACAAAAATCATGGCAGTTTAATAAGCAAAGTATCAGAGTAAAAGCAAATAAAAGACACAGGAAGACACACACACACACACACACACACACACACACACACACACACACACACACACACACACACACACACACACACACACACACACACACACACACCACACACACATCTGGGAAAAACCAGTGACACTAGCTCTAGTATCACTTTATCTAGTGACACTAGATCACTGTCTACTGACACTAGACAAAGCTCCAGAACAAACCCAAACCCGCGCCACTTTCCACAACTATTTAACCCCATGTGGGTTAATGTGTATGTGTCTCACCCGTCTCTCTCTCTCTCTCTCTCTCTCTCTCTCTCTCTCTCTCTCTCTCTCTCTCTCTCTCTCTCTCTCTCTCTCTCTCTCTCTCTCTCTCTCTCTCTCTCCCTTATCCACCTCTGGCCCTCATCCACCAGTGTTCTTCATCCTTTGTCATTTCAACCACGTTGCTGTGACTTGCTGTGTGGCCAGAAACATGCGAAACAAATGGGGATAAGAATGAGAGGAAGGGGAGGGTGGGTAGAGGAGCTAGGAGAGAGAAGAGGGAGGGAGACAACGGTAGGGAAGATGAGGGACACACTTACGCTTGGCGCAGTATTGGTGGTCAATTTCGACGGGATGGTCCTTGTCACACTTGCATAGCCTCGTCTTGTTGTCGCAGGTGGTGTGGGTCCCCCGGCCACAACGATCCTCGCAGGGGTCGCCTAGCCCACCAGTGCCTACAACAACAACCACAATAATAATAATAATAATAATAATAATAATAATAATAATAATAATAATAATAATAATAATAATAATATTTTATTTACATGCAAATTAGAGAATTTAGGAATAATAATACAGGAAGATATTTAGGGAGCCGGTCGGCCGAGCGGACAGCACGCTGGATTTGTGATCCTGTGGTCCTGGGTTCAATCCCAGGCGCCGGCGAGAAACAATGGGCAGAGTTTCTTTCACCCTATGCCCCTGTTACCTAGCAGTAAAATAGTGCCTGGGTGTTAGTCAGCTGTCACGGGCTGCTTCCTAGGGGTGGAGGCCAGGTCGAAGACCGGGCCGCGGGGACACTAAAGCCCCGAAATCATCTCAAGATAACCTCAAGATAAGAAGAAGGTGCAGAGGGGTCTATTGGCCCTTGTGAGGCAGCTCCTATTTCAACCCCGTCCTCTGGCTAGACTCGTTAAAGCGGCAACCAACCCACCTTCCCCCCACAGCACTAAAGACCCGTTCATCTAATTCAACGTATTGTGTATTAAAAATAGCTTTTACTTGTATATAAATTAATATTATTTGATATTAGAGTTCTGTGCGTGTTAGATATAAGTTATTTAGGTTCTGTTGACAATTGTGTTTGAGGCCTTTACAGCGTTACGAGTCCGACAGAAGTCGTCAGCGAGGCACTGTTCGAGGACTGTTTGAACACCATCAGTTGTGAGTCGTGTTTATAACGAGTTTCATTCACAGATACACACAAAACGTTATTGTTCATAGTGTTTGAAACATGGAGTCTGGGAAATGGTGAGCTTGGTAACACTGTTCAGGACGTGTTGTGGGAGTCCATCTTGGCACTCATCACAACCACCATCCTGGCACTCATCACAACCACCATCCCTGGCACTCATCACAACCACCATCCTGGCACTCATCACAACCACCATCCTGGCACTCACCACAACCACCATCCTGGCACTCATCACAACCACCATCCTGGCACTCACCACAACCACCATCCCTGGCACTCATCACAACCACCATCCTGGCACTCATCACAACCACCATCCTGGCACTCATCACAACCACCATCCTGGCACTCACCACAACCACCATCCTGGCACTCATCACAACCACCATCCTGGCACTCATCACAACCACCATCCTGGCACTCATCACAACCACCATCCTGGCACTCATCACAACCACCATCCTGGCACTCGTCACAACCACCATCCTGGCACTCATCACAACCACCATCCTGGCACTCATCACAACCACCATCCTGGCACTCATCACAACCACCATCCTGGCAGGTTGTCCATCCTGGTGTGTTCAGACTAAGTGAAGAGTAAGTAAGTATGCTCTCAAGTTCTTCAAGTGTGACTCAAGTCAGCCCTTGAGAGTCTTCCAAGTTGAAGAGGCTCTCAAGGTATATTGATATTTGTTACAACAATTATAATAATTTTCGTTGTCGGGACAGGGAGCCTGAATTTACTATTTGTGTCTGCAGAATCGAGCTATTAGCTCTTGGACCCCGCCTTTCTAACCAATCTGTTTTTACTCAGTTATATCTACTACATATATCTCTAACACACACATACACATCCTCAGGAAGCAGCCCGTAGCAGCTGTCTAATTCCCAGGTACCTATTTACTGCTAGGTGAACAGAAGCCTCAGGGAGAAAGAAACTCTGCCCATTTGTTTCCGCCTCGGCCGGGAATCGAACCGGAGCCTTTAGGACTATGACCCCCGAGCGATATCCACTCAGCTACCGTGAGGCCTCGCCTGTGTATATATTTACTTGAGGGATGGCCACTATATCTCTCTAGTGGCCTCGACGGGGACAGAAAGACGGCGGCTTTTTAATTATTCCTAATTATAAGGCTTTTTAATTATTCCCAATTATAAGGCTTTTTAATTATCCCAATTATAAGGCTTTTAAATTATTCCCAATTATAAGGCTTTTTAATTATTCCCAATTATAAGGCTTTTTAATTATTCCCAATTATAAGGCTTTTTAATTATTCCCAATTATAAGGCTATGTAAGGCTTACAATGGGCTTACATAACCGTGCACATATCATTGAAATATTATGCTATATGATTTGTATATAAAAATTTGACCACTAAGTGTTACCTCTCACTTTATACACGTGTACGCCTACTGATGCCAGCCACGACTGTAAAGATCTGCATATATCACTTACGACCATATCTTAGTGAGTGCGGTAAGTAAAATCTAGCGTAAGAGAAGGCTTGCGGAGGCAGGGGAGCAGCGAACACCCCCCCCTCACAGCTCTCCTTCAACTCATCTTCCCCATTGCTTATCCTGGTTCCCGAAGGCATCCTGGGTGTCGGCCAGCTTGGCATACGCCGCTGATGTGATCTTGTCAATGTGTGCCTACAGTACTTACCCTTCCATCATTGACTACGGGGGAGGCGAAAACTTGGCCCCCCTTAATGCCCAGTGTGTTTTTATTGCTAAATCTTTGGCATCATACCCGTGGCAATCTCATCACCTTGCATTTAATTGGATTAATGTCAAGCAGCCGTTTCGCAGAGCAACTATCTAGGATGTTCAGGTCCACTTGAAGTATTCTGCGATCCTTCTCTATTCTGACTCAACAGTTTCGTATCGTTGGTTAGTGTTATATGGTAGATTCTACTTTGTCAATTATTGCATTGGTGTCCGTTCTCAGTGTTCCGCTTGGTGTGTGTGTGTGTGTGTGTGTGTGTGTGTGTGTGTGTGTGTGTGTGTGTGTGTGTGTGTGTGTGCGCACGCGCGTGTGCTCGCGTGTGTGCGTGTGTAAAGAGGATGGAACACAAGAGCAGGTAAGGTGTACCGCCGCGCCTACTCTTCCGCTACCAATACTTCCTCATTTTTCTCGTCCTACCAGACACATCCATCATTATCATCATCATCATCATCATCACCTCCTTAATCATCATCGTTATGGTCATTATACACACAGTGAAGCAGGCGGGGGCTCTAACACAGGACCATCCAGGTGCACACAAAAGGGTGGCAGCAGATGGCAGTAAACTGCCCCCCAGCTCTGACTTTTAAACCTCTCCAGACACCACTATAAAAGCCAGTAGCAGTCTCCATCTATTGGCCAAATCACATATGATTTGACTGGTGAAACTGCAAGCAAGAGCTGTTATCCCACCTCTGCTCATCTGAAACCTGTTAATGGAAACTCATTTAATTGATGAAAATGCACTTTGAAATGTGCTATCACATAGGGGGCTATTGGTAAAGGCACTATTATATAAGGAACCTGGTGAAACTGCAAGCAAGAGCTGTTATCCTATCTCAGCTCAGTTGAAACCTACTCGTAGAGACCCATTTATTTCATGAACGTATTATATGCATCTATAGGAATATAGTCTTTATATATTAACAACTTAGAGGTAACAATCATATAAGGAACAGGATGAGCCCGTCGCCAACTGTGTGCCAGAGCCTTTATATGCTCACTTGACCTGATCTCTCCTGCCTTGAGGTGTTTTCGGGGCTTAGCGACCCCGCGGCCCGGTCCTCGACCAAGCCTCCCCTATGTAACCTGTTGAGCGAATATGGCGAGAGTGAGCCAGAGAGCGAACTCACTCACTCTCTCTCTCTCTCTCTCTCTCTCTCTCTCTCTCTCTCTCTCTCTCTCTCTCTCTCTCTCTCTCTCTCTCTCTCTCTCTCTCTCTCTCTCTCTCCTTCTCTCTGACAGTACACATGATGTAGGCATCATTTACACGGACGGGTGAATTAGCATGTGACACCAGCCGCATATACAACAGCAATCATGCTTTAGTGTCACACCACCAGTGTCACACTACCAGTGTCACACTACCAGTGTCACACTACCAGTGTCACACCACCAGTGTCACACCACCAGTGTCACACCACCAGTGTCACACCACCAGTGTCACACCACCAGTGTCACACCACCAGTGTCACACCACCAGTGTCACACTACCAGTGTCACACTACCAGTGTCACACTACCAGTGTCACACCACCAGTGTCACACCACCAGTGTCACACCACCAGTGTCACACCACCAGTGTCACACTACCAGTGTCACACCACCAGTGTCACACTACCAGTGTCACACTACCAGTGTCACACTACCAGTGTCACACTACCAGTGTCACACCACCAGTGTCACACCACCAGTGTCACACCACCAGTGTCACACTACCAGTGTCACACTACCAGTGTCACACTACCAGTGTCACACTACCAGTGTCACACTACCAGTGTCACACTACCAGTGTCACACCACCAGTGTCACACTACCAGTGTCACACCACCAGTGTCACACCACCAGTGTCACACTACCAGTGTCACACCACCAGTGTCACACTACCAGTGTCACACTACCAGTGTCACACTACCAGTGTCACACCACCAGTGTCACACCACCAGTGTCACACCACCAGTGTCACACCACCAGTGTCACACCACCAGTGTCACACCACCAGTGTCACACCACCAGTGTCACACTACCAGTGTCACACTACCAGTGTCACACCACCAGTGTCACACCACCAGTGTCACACCACCAGTGTCACACCACCAGTGTCACACCACCAGTGTCACACTACCAGTGTCACACTACCAGTGTCACACTACCAGTGTCACACCACCAGTGTCACACCACCAGTGTCACACCACCAGTGTCACACCACCAGTGTCACACCACCAGTGTCACACTACCAGTGTCACACCACCAGTGTCACACCACCAGTGTCACACTACCAGTGTCACACCACCAGTGTCACACCACCAGTGTCACACTACCAGTGTCACACTACCAGTGTCACACCACCAGTGTCACATCATGACATTGTGGCCATGTATCCCTCTCCCTTCCCACCCACACCTTCCTGAACCCTCTTCCCCCCCCCCCTCCCCACTCCTCCATCACCCCTCCCTCACCCTTCCACACCCTACACCACACTACTCTCCTCCCTCACCAAACTCCACACCTCCAACCTTTCTCTTGCC